AGTATTAGCGCAAGGGAGCCAAATAATATTGCACGCCCCACTTTTCAGTTTTTTATTTGTTAAAAAAGTTTAAATTATCCAATAAATTTCGTTCCACTTCACGATTGTGTCCCACTTGTTGTTGATTCTTGACAAAAAATTAAATTTTTATATCTTTATGTTTGAAGCCTGAAATGTGGCGAAATGTTGAAAGGTTCAAGGGGGCCGAATACTTTCGCAAGGCACTGTATAATGAAACAGTTATATTTCTGCACTAAACTGCCCACTTTGCACCATTATTTATATCTTATGTTTTTATTTTTAAGATAAGAAATCCTTAATCTGTCCCAACCATCCTTTATTGAGATTGAGACTCAGTTAGATTAAGAACATTTTTTTCAAGCGCGTCCAGGCCAAATGGCAACACAGTTTACAAATGTAGAATATAAAAACATACAAATCACATACATAATAAATGTTAGTGTACGTATCAAGATTCATCACACAGAGAGGAAGTTTCAGTGTTGCATCACAGGTTACAGAACAGTAGGAATGAGGAGCACATCACAGATAAGTGAATAGATAATAAACAGTTAATGTCTGCAACATCAGAACTTATATAAGTCTTAAAAACAAGTACACACTGAATTTTGCATTAGGATTGTAGAAGAAACTCAACTGAAACCAGCTCCTTCAATTTCAAAAATGTTAACTTTTGAAAACTGAAAGGCCTTGATTCCGAACATCTCGAAAGACAGCAGTAACCCTCTCTGCAGATAGGAAACTCAAATCTTCTGAAAAATGAAATACAATTCTATTCAATTCATTTTTGCATAGCTCTGAATCACCGCAGTACAGTTTTCTCTGAGGACTTTAAAATCTTTTAAGATTGGTTCCTATATGAGATCAGGTTTAATGCGATTTAGCCAAACCACAATCCCCAATGAACAACGCAATGCTATGGACTATATTTTATTTAGAAATTTGTGAATTTCTTAAATCTTAAGGTCAAGTTATACGTTATTTTTATCCACTGAAATCTGTCAGCAGCCCATCTCCTGGTCCTGACGCTCGGCTTGTTCAGGATCAGAGCTGGAAGGTTATACCCAAGATGCACTTTGGGTGTTGGGAGAAACCGACCCAGACACAGGGTCAAAACATGTCAAAAGTCCACACAGAACGGTCCGGGACGACACAGGATCGAACGCACAACCTACTTGCTATCGACTTTACTTATATAGCACATATTATATTAAAAAAAGTGCTGCACAGAGAGAAAAGTAACACATTTTAATATAAAGGTAACTAAAATAGAATGAGTAAAACAATTATGATGTACGTAGTAACAAAAAAAAAAAATAGGAAAAAAGCAATAGAAGTTGAATAGAAACAATACAAAACCAGTTATTCAATATAAAAATAACAGCAAAAAACAATACATTAAATACAACTCAAAACAACTTTACATTTTGCAGAATTTCTGACCTCATTTGGCAGATTCTTTGAACATTTCCTAGAATTACCACAATTTATGTATTTGCATCAATGTTTGTTCAAAATATGACATTGAAATTCCTTTTGCAAAACATATGGCACAAAACAAAACTTAAAATAAAAATAAAAGCAGACATTTGTCAGACATTATGCAGCGAACTGAACTTCAGAAGAGACTTTGCTCCAACACTCTTGTTTATTGATGTGGCGTGTAATAGTAATGATGGCGTATTTGCATGTGGCATATGTCTGCATCGTCCATATGATTATACACTTGTCCCGGCGGTGGTTCTCTTTGATGCTACAGATGCAGTAGAACCAAACAGCAACACCAAATCCCACAAGCGCCTTTTTGACGAGCCGCTATCACATCCACATTCATCCCCTCCTCCTCTTCATCATCTCTTTGTCCAGCTTCCATTTCTTCTATACCTTCACCTTCCTCTCTGTCTCTTTACTGTGGGACAAACGAAAGATTAAGATGACCTTTATTCGTCCCACAGTGGGGAAATTCCAGTGTTGCATCGCCAGTTACAGAGCGGTAGGTAATGGGGAGCACACAGCACGAGATAAGTGAAGGATAACTCTACACTTTGAAAATAGAGAGTCTAATGACCTAAAATGGGAACAAAAACACTAACCAGGTTGTTTAGAAAGCTCGTCGGGATCTATACTTTCTGTGGAAACTTAAGAGAATTTACCACAAACTCTAAGATCCTGCTGCGCCATTGAAAGTTTGCTTGTTGGTTCTGTGACTGCGTGGTTTGGCAACAAGAAAGGAGATGCAAATGGGACTGTGAGCTGCCTGTTCTGGAGGTTCTGTATAAATCCAGACTCTTCAACCAAGCTCTAAGAATAATCAATGACTTTTCTGGTGCCAGGAAAACCAATGTTCCAGCTTCTTCCCTCTGGCAGATGTTCTCGTTCGTTGATGCAGGATATCTCGTTCAAGATATGTTTTATTATATGATATGCACATATCACATCAAGGCATGCAGTCACTTCCGCGCTCCTTATAGGCAAAGTGGGGTAAGGTGTCTTGCCCAAGGACACATCAACAGCAGACAGCAGTGAGAGTCGGTGCAGAAAGTCTTGCGGTGGGCTTGAATCCACAACCTTCAGGCTCAAAGGCCAATGCTCTACCAACTGAGCCACTGTCGCTAACAGCTTCTTTCCCCAAGCTGTTATCACTTTGAACTGAGCACTTTAAGGATCTTGCACCTGTATTGTGTTTTAGTTAATCGGTTTTACAGTGACTATTGTTTCCTGCACTTGTTTAGTTTGCTTAATTTCTGTACTTTTTTCCTTGTTTTATTCGTGTACTTGTCTGGGGCACACTTTTGCACAGGTGTTCCAATGCGGTTTTATTGCAAATAGCAAATAAAATGTATCTGAATCTTAAAATCTCTAACGTTAGCATAATAAAGAAGTATAAAAACCACAACTTTAGCATGATAAAGAACCCAGTTTGAAATCCTCAACTTTAGCATAATAAAGAGCCAAGTTTAAAATCTGTAACGTTAGCATGATAAAGAAGTAAGTACATGTTAGCAGCATGAGGCTAACAGAAGGCTACAAGGGTAAGATAAATTGAGGCTCTAGTTTCCCACAAGATACAGTTCTATTATTTGATATTTCTTTTTATTATTCACGGCTATTGGCATTTCATCTTCAGCAGATTGTAAATATTGTCTTTGAGCCGACGCTGTCCAAAAGAACGCTTCGTGAAGAGGACATTGAGTGAGACTATTCTGGTCTCTTTCCAACGTGTCACAATCTGTTTATGAATAGCGTACAGTCGCCAATGCAAAAGAAAGACATTAATTTCTGCTTGGCTCACGGTGGTGATTCACGGCAAGAAGTCCATGGGTTGGATTCCACCTCTGTGTGGAGTTTGCATGTTCTCCCCGTGTCTGCGTAGGTTACCTCAGAGTGCTCCGGTTTCCTCCAAGTGCTGCGTTTTCCCCTACCCCTGTATGTATGTGTATGTGTGTGTGTGTGTGGGGAAAATGTAAATGACTGGCATACTAAAATTGTGCAGTACTTTGTGTGGTTTGGTGAAATGTGCTGTATGAATGAAGATGACTTATTTATATAACACATTTGCACACCTTTTTCTCGCTTAATAAACTGAAGAACATTATTTGGCGCTTTCATATCTCCACAAATGAAGACATAAGCACGAATGGACCACCCTTTAACCCTTTAAGTCGGTAAAGCTGGGGTATGTAACTTTTTAACCACACAGACACACACTCACAGACACACAAAAGCAATCTAAATCAAGCCAATTCCTTGTTTGGTTCAATTGTTTGTTTTCATACACGTGTCTTTATTTTTAGAAGAATCTTTCTGTTGGGACAAAAAACACATGTCATTTCTGAAACAAAGGAGTTAGGTATAGCCCAGTTTTAAAATTCCATTCATATATAGCCAATACAGCCTGTATATTTACATAATTCCATCCATTTAATCCCTACCCTTTAATCCATTTCTGGGTGGCAGTCAGAGATGCCTCCCAAGTCACAGAGCACCAGCCCCTCACTGACCCTCTGCAGGTGGTGAGTCCACAGGAGGGCGGCTGCTCTCTGAGTGTGAGCATAGCCTTGATCTTTCAGTGGGGGCTTTGGGCAAAGTGGGGTTAAGTGTCTTGCCCAAGGACACAACGACAGCAGTCATCAGTGGGAGTCAGTGGAGAAGGTGTAGAGGTGGGAATTGAACCTACGACCTTCAGGCCTGAAGGCCAATGCTCTACCAACTGAGCCACTGTCGCCCCTTATATTGACATAATTGATAAAGAAAAGTTCATAAAGGTACAATGACATTTTAACCAGAAAAGGTCAAAATGTCTAACAATATTCAAAAACATAATGCATGACTTCGGCTTGTAGAAAAATATATTTTATTGACTTATGAATAATGAGGTTTGTGAATGTAATCGCTACAAAATAATGATCTGGGAAAACATTTGGACATATAAAAAAAAAAGTCTTTCCCATATAGACTATAATTTTGTCAAGTTCCCTTCAACTGAAATACAAATCTGAAACATACATAAATGAGGAACTTGTACATGTGTATTTCTTTAAAGTAGAAATCACAGAGAAATGACAACGTTAAAGAAGATCAATTATTATTTTTAAATTTCAGTGCTGTGTGTACACTATAGTAAACACTATGTAAGAAATAGCAAGAAACAGAAAAGTGCCATAAGGAAAAAAAAAACATGTGAAAGGCTTACAATTTTCTCTTTACCAAGTTGTTTTTGTGAAAAGCCAGATCTATTTTAGTGCCTCACAAATAAAGTTTCACCCCTTCTTGAGAAAATTCTTTCTAATGTACTGCCAATAAGAAAACATGTCGAGAATTGTAGTTGGAGGAACACAACTTTTTGACACAACTTTTTGACACATTTTCAAGACGAAGACTCCCAAATTTGCGAATGAACTTCCACTTATATCTTCTTATACACGTACATTTTGTCGAGGATAAACACCACAGGGCTTTTATTTTATGTATTTAGGTATTTACTCGCTGTCCTTTTTTTTTTTTATCAAGTCAATTCTGAAGGCCATTAGAATCAGTGACCCAAGAGTGCCTTCTGCCCCCCACTCTGTCCCCCTCTCTGTCTCTCCACTCAGTCTCCTCCTTCTGTCTCCCCTCTTCTGTCTCCCCACTCTGTCTCCTCCTTCTGTCTCCCCTCTTCTGTCTCCCCCTTCTGTCTCCCCACTCTGTCTCCCCTCTTCTGTCTCCCCACTCTGTCTCCTCCTTCTGTCTCCCCTCTTCTGTCTCCCCCTTCTGTCTCCCCACTCTGTCTCCCCTCTTCTGTCTCCCCACTCTGTCTCCTCCTTCTGTTTCCCCCTTCTGTCTCCCCCCTCTCCCTGGATGATTTTCAGGCCCACACGCAGACAGGAGGCTGGGAGGAGCTTCTCGCTGTGACACATCCGTCCTCAGTCTGGTCTGAGCGCGAGTAGTTCTTCAGATGTTGTTTTTGGAAGCTCTGCACGGATGGGGGGGGGGGGGGGGGGGGGGGTAAGAGGGGGAGGGGGGCACGGTGGCAGAGTGGTAAGTCCTCTGCCAACCGGGAGCTTACGTAATCGCTCTAAATGTCGTCCTTGTGTCATGTGTGTCCAAAAGATACACTTCTGTCAGGACTGCGGCCTCAAGGGACTCGAATAGTTGGACAGACAATAATATGCAACAAACAGTGATGAGACTGTTTCTTTTCACAGGTCAAATGAAAAACTCACATTTCTCAGCAATGGAACAAAGGCTTAAGTGTTTATCATGCTCAAGTTATAGATTTTGTTTTATTGTATGATGTTATTGTTCATTTATCTTGTGCTGTGTGGTCCTCACTCCTACTGTTCTGTAATTTGTGATGCAACACTGACATTTCCCCGCTGTGGGACGAATAAAGGATTTCTTACAGTTCCATCTGCTCC